GAAGGTCCTGCCACAAGATGGACTAACACGGCGGCTGCAGGAGCAGATTCACGCATGGCCAGGCTCGCGACGTAGAGCCAGACCGGGCAATGCTCTGCTCTCTTGCACTTGGGGTCACGGGAGTCGGAGTGATCACAAGGCTGAGGGGGCAGGAGTGGTCGAGCTGTTGAGGTGGAAGAACTTATTTTACACTACTTAGAGGATGAATGACTACGTGCGCTTGTCGAAGCGGCACAGGGTGTGAACTTCAGTGCCGGCAGGCAGACAGGAGCATCAACTAGCTTGGCAGGAGATGTCAGATTAAAAGTTGTTGTTGTTGTGTACTGTAGAGTCCGAACTGGGCCGCAGCTGACCCTCCAGCAGGTTTCCAGAGGCAGGACATCACACAGAGCAGCTGGTGGACTTGAACAGTGTGCTTTCGGGTCAGCAGTGCAGCTCCTTACCACTAAGCTCCCCAAGCTCCCCAGATGAAGCGTGGACGGTGACGGATGAATAGGAAACAGCCAGGCTGAGGGGGTGGGGGGCGGGGAGAGGGAAGTGCCTTAAAGAGGCTGGTTAGAGAACTCCGCTGTCCATGCGGGTAGCATGTTGGGGAGCTCTCTTCTGCCCATCTCTTTAGGGCCAGGTTCATCAGGCGGGGTGGCCTTCTAAATTCAGCCCTGCATCTGTCTGGTTGAACTGATCCTGAACGATCGTGGTCCGCTTCCACGGTCTGTGTTTCTGTTTCAGGGAGTCAGAGCTGGCCCTCTGACAGGTTCTCAGGGACTGGAAATCACCTGAGAGGACGCTGCCTATCTCTATCCTGAGGAGCAGGTGTAGATTTGAACTGCAAACCTTTGGGTTGGCAGCACAGCTCCTTACCTGCTAAGCAGTTAGAATCAGTTCTATGATTACATACAGGTATTTTGGGGCCGTACAACTCAGTTCATGGCAGGTGCCCTCAAGTGGTTGACGTGAAGCAGTGCGCCCTCTGCCCGTGAAGAAACCAGGACTGTCTCATGCCATCACTCGAGGGTTGCGCCTTGAAGCACAAACTGAAGGGTTCGCGGTTCAAATGCGGTAGCTGTTCTGTGGGAGAAGCAACAGGCTGCTTCTGCAGAGGGTGCCTGAGCGAGCTCTGCTGGGCCCACGGAGCTGCCCGTTACTGAGGAGCTGCATGCGTGGGTTCCCGTGAGCTTCCAGAGATGGGGTCCAGTGGTAGATGACAGAGGTCATCAAGTCCCTTTGCAATGGGCTTGTCCCTGTGGTGCCCATGTGGTTAACGAGCTGGGCTGGTAACCAGGGAGACGGAGGGTCCGGTCCACATAGGGTGATCACTTCCAGCAAAGCGGCAGGGAGACCGTGTGGGCCCAGTGCTGAGTGAGACGTGTGGGCTGCGGGGATTGGAGGCGACGTGGCACTGCCTACTTACCGGGGGTGGCCTCTTGGCCAGGACTTTGGGGCACAGTAGCTGTACATGTTGTTGGGTGAAAACTGAGCCTGGCAGAGTGTGGATTTTCTGGCAGCTATGCATAAGTCTAGGCTTGAACTTACTTTTTGAAATAGATATTAAATCATTATTTTTTAACAAGTTGTTGAAATGTGTTACATGAGGTGTGCTCTGGAGCTTAATGGAAGGAAGACTCCGCTGAATCTGGGCTGGGGGAAGGGTGAGGGGTGTGGTTGTTGCTGGCTCTGGGCAGGCTGTCTGTCTGCATCTGCCCCCCACCTGTGTCCTGTGTGACTCTCCCTTGGGTCTGGCTTGGAGGACAGGTGAGGTGATACGGTCATCTCTGGCTCTGAGCAGGCTGTCTGTCTGTGCGTCTGCCCCCCTCCCTGTTTGTCCCGAGACAGTTTAGGCCAGAAATGGCTGTAGAACAGAGCTCGAGTCCTCAGAGCGTCGTGCTGCCACTGCGCGAGTCTCTGGAGATTTGCCAAGACTGGAATCCTGCAAAGTGTGTTCTCCTGCCGTGAGGAGGGCAAGGTAGAGATCACCAACAGAAGGAAAGCCAGAAACCACCAGCATGGGAATGACACAGCTCGCTCCTGCGAGCCCTTTGGCCAAGGAGAAACCACAAGGGACATTAGAAAGCACAGTATTCCGGTGCATGTGGGACCGCCAGGGGTGCGGCTGCCGCCGGTGCCACCACACGAAGACGAGAGATGCGCATGAGACAGTGAGGGGCACGTGGCTGATGAGAGACACGTGTGGGACAGTGAGGGGCGCGGCTGATGAGAGACACGTGTGGGACGGTGAGGGGCACGTGGCTGATGAGAGGTGCGTGTGGGACGGTGAGGGTGGCTGATGAGAGGCGCGTGTGGGACGGTGAGGGCGTGGCTGATGAGAGACACGTGTAGGACAGTGAGGGGCGTGGCTGATGAGAGGTGCGTGTGGGATAGTGAGGGGCACGTGGCTGATGAGAGGTGCGTGTGGGACAGGGAGGGGCGTGGCTGATGAGAGACACGTGTGGGACGGTGAGGGGCACGTGGCTGATGAGAGACACGTGTGGGACAGGGAGGGGCGCGGCTGATGAGAGGTGCGTGTGGGACGGTGAGGGGCGCGGCTGATGAGAGACACGTGTGGGACAGGGAGGGGCGCGGCTGATGAGAG